CTTCAAGGGGAGGATCGTTGGGTTCCAGCTTACGATGACGATGATTTCTGCCTCCGCTTTATATGGTCAAGACCTTCTAAACTAAGTACTCGAAGTCATGCAACCATAGAATGGATTATACCCGAAAATGCTGCTTCAGGCGTATACAGAATAAGGCATTTTGGAGCGGCAAAACATCTTTTGGGGTCAATTAATCATTTTACAGGCTCTTCTAGTGCTTTTGTTGTAGCATGAGACTAATATGTTTATCTATAACCCTGAATCAGTGTTATCGCATTACTGATTAATATACATTTAAGTTGTTTAATGCTTTCTCCTGTGTTGGCAATTTTCAATTTCGTTACTTTATTTGTTCAAGTTTGTAGCTTTGCTCCAATGGTCACCAGGAAGAGGGATTGGGATCTCAATGATATATAGCATTAGAATAAAAATAAACACTGCTTCATAATCGTCGGTCCTCCCTTTCAGTTACGAGGATAGGCTCATTAAAACCAGGTGAAACAATAATCTAACCCCACCATGATTCATTAAACAAAAGTTTTAAAACCAGAAGAGATTGTCAACCTAAACTAAGCTACAGACTTCATTGCTTAGAATCCATTTTTTGGTACTAGATAAACCCTGGCCTTAATGATGGATCCATTCCCAAGTTTAAATCCTGGACTTACAGGAAAACTGACAACCATTGATGCATAGGCATTCCCTGCACCATTGTTACAAGAAATCTTTGACACACTCTCCATGTACTGAGAATGAAACTCAGCCCCGGGATTCGCCTCAAAATGACTAGGCAGTGGGTCCAACGAGAAAGCAAGCAAATGTAGAAGCCAAACTGCCTTTGAGAACCCCAGAAACTCGCTATAGAACTGACTCCTTGGGTGGTGCCCGTCTAGCACTTGGCGTCTTTGCTCCAAGTCCCCAAACAAGGACTCCTCCATCTTCGGGTGCACAATTGCAAGGTACTTCTTGAAACAAAATTTCCCAAAGCTGCAAGTAGGCAAAATGCTGAGGAGTTCAACAGGGTCCATGGCTTTCATGTCGCGATACTGGGTGAAGCAGTCTCTGCGGTGCTGATCGGGGTGGAGCAACGAGGAGAGGCTGCCATCCATATAGAATGTCTCGTGGTCAAATCCCTGAAAGATTTTTCGATTCACATAGGATTCCAATGCGTACTTTGAGTGGTTCTTCCCAACTACCGAGTCTGCGGACGCAGTGGCATTAGAGGATGCTGCTTCAATGGATCTTACAGCAGCTGCAATGTCCCAGTGGGCAGAGCGCATAAGCGAGAGAAGCAGGGAAGTGAAGGATTTCGAGGCCTCTGTTACTAAATTCATCGTCGCTTCAAATTGCTCAGGTGCTGGTGCTGGTGCTGCTGCAACTGTCATAAGTGAATTCTCAGTTAGATTATGAAAATTGTTCAAGAAAATGAAATTTTAGCATTAGACTGAATTTAATTATAGGATTTTTTTTTCGTTTTCTTTCTGTCGTAAGAATCAAGATATGGTCTCACCAGCTAGAAAGTATTATAACAAAATCAAAGACAAACAAATTGGGCAAAGTTAAGAAAATCAAAGACAACCAATTTGGGCGAAGTTAAGGTTATGGTCATCATTGCTAATTATGAATATCTCGTTCCTAAATAGATCTTCTCTTTATTTCCAGAATTGAACTGAGTTCGAAAAGGAGAAATCTTTGATGATTTTATAGAAAGTGAGTAAGGCAATAACCTTGAGCAGTGCAGCTGACTCTTCTCTTTGACTTTCCCTTTGACCTTCCACCGCTACTGTTGAAAGACGTCGCCGTTTTGAGCTTCTCCCTCAAGTTGTCGACCTCAACTTGCTTGGCTTTCACTTCTTTGTTCAGCTCCTCCAAGCTCGCCTCGTACGGTGCTACCACCTCTCTAAGAGTCAATGACCCTAGTCTCCACCGCCCCCTTCCTCCACCATCACCACCCACAGTCCTCCTGAACCTCTCCCTCAACACTCCCAGCTTCCTTAATTCCGCCACAACCACCACGTCAGCCACGCGCATTTTGTCCGGATCCCAAGGACTGTGCGACTGCTGCAGACTAACGTATGCCCTCTTCATGGCCGATACCGCGTCGAACACTTCACCCATCAGCATTTCCATCTCCAGTATTCTCTCGTTACTGGGTTCATCCTTGTTCGCCGCTTCCCAATCTTTAGACTCCTCTTCCTCATCGAACCCATCTTGTTCTTGTTTGGTTTCGTACCTTTCTTCTTCGGAATCCGAATCTGAGCCGCTCCTTTGGACGGAGATATCATCCGGGCGGTTGCCCGCCAGTGGGTGGAGCAGACAAGACGCAGTGACTCGTTGGATCAGATCCGAGAAATTTGATACCTTGGTAGCCATTCTCTTGATGCAGCCTCTGTTTCTGTAAAATAACAGTTGAGTTTTGGCAGCAAGTGTAATTATCCAGTAATAAGCCCCTGTTTGGTACGCATTTTTGGAGCCAAAAATGCATTTTTTCCGTCACATCAGCACACAATTTTTGACTTCTACACTCTAATGGAGGACTCGCGATATGATGTTTAAAATACATTTTCATCTAAAAAATGTGCACCAAACGGCCTCTAAATATAAGAGGAAATTTCATGTCAATTTTTATTTAGTTATTTGTAAAGATGTCAAATTTGAAAGAATTTAGAGCAAAATATCCTTATTAACAATTTATAATTCTACACTAAAACAAAAAAAATAGACATTTTTATAATATTGCTATTGGCCAATAAAATTTTGACACATAACTTGTCATATTTATTTCAAAAAGTATACACGTCAAATCACAATAAATACTATGTTTTCATTGATTTAGAAATATCGAGAACGATATTTTTAAATATAGAGAAATATCATGTTCAAAATAAAATGTCATTTTAAATAAATGAAACGGTGTTCAAATATCGAAAAACATTATCTTAATGTGGCTTCTCATGGAAGCCACTTCTCAAAATTCGTGACAAATTAATAAAAAAATCAAATGTCGAGAACGACATTTAGCCCCTGTTTGGTACTCATTTTTGGAGCCAAAAATGTATTTTTTCCGTCACATCAGCACACAATTTTTGACTTCTACACTCTAATGGGGGACCCGCGATATGATGTTGAAAATGCATTTTCATCTAAAAAATGTGCACCAAACGGACTCTTAAAATGTTAAGAATATCATTTCAAAATGTAACTTTTCATTAAGGGCATAATAGACAAGTTGACACTAAATTTAAGCCCCTGTTTGATTTTCATTACATTACATTCTATTTTTCTTTCTCCTATTTTCAACCACACAATCTTCCATAAAATAATATTACACGTAAATCGAAAATTTTTCTTTCTTTTTCAATCACTCATTTTTCAAAAAACACTATTCTATACATTAAATTTTCCCCGTAATGGAGCCAAACAGGGGCTTAAATGAGTGGAGATACCCTTAAAATTGAACATCCTTAAAAGTTCCCCTAAATATAAACAGTAGAGAATGAAGTGAGTGAGACAACATTAGTTCTGATCGGGTCAACTCGTTCGTGATGACTATTTTCTTGGAAATTTAATGCGAGCACAAATACCAACATCCCCTTTACTTTGTGGACTTTGATAGTTGTACACTAGGACAAGCATGGTCCTTTATTTGTTTCGCAACCTTCTAAGAAATAGCTTATAAGTTACTTGTAAATAAGTAATTATTTAAAAATGTGAATATCCGGCGGTCCAGATCCCTTACCTGTCTTGCGATCGCAAAGAGAATTGAATTTAGCATTCTTGTTGAGTGGATTTCTGTAAAATGGCGAGGAGTAAGGCAGATGCCGGTTAGCTTCTGCTTCCTCATTGAAGTTGCCACTTTTCTTTTCCCTGTAACTCGAAAAGCTAATATATAATTATACCAAAAAAAAAAAAAAAAAGTTGCTTCTCGCTTTTGAATATATTAAGATAATTTTTCAATGTTTTATTTGATTAGAAAAATAAGTTGACATAAAGTAATTTTTTTAGAAAGTCTTTCTACAAAAAAACATAATTAAAAACAGGAGTCTTGCCAAACGAGTCATTCATCTAATATACATATTCAACATGTTGCATATATGTATATCCTCCAAAATCTTATAAGGTCAGGGATCGAACATATGATTTGTCCCATGTAGCACGTCCAATTAACAAACTATGCGAGATAAATAAATAATTTAGCTTATATACTACCTTGAACACTCGGTTCGAAATGATCGAAGCAACATGTTTGGTAGCATATTCAAAATTTTGCTGTGGAAAGTGTGAGAAATGGCAGTATTTATAGGGGATTAAAGTCCCAAGTTAATAAGTTTATGGTATCAATCAAATGTCAATTTCTCAAGTTCAAGAGTTCTCAAATTGAATTTGGATTCAAAAGTTTGTTAAAAGTGGGGATCGACCGAAAAATTTGAACTTCTTGTGCAATATCAACAAGATGGATCAATACATGCAATAGGAGAGCTAGGGGTCAACCAATATTTTGAATTTTTTATAGAGCTATATGTAGAAATTTTGAATATTTTCGACTTATGTATAATACATTTATTCGTCACTCTGTTATGCGAAAATTCCGATTCCACCACTGATTTCATGCACTCTTAGTGAAACTCGATATCTCAAGCATGCATGCTACTGCAATTGATCGCCTTTTCAGGCCTTCCCGGCCGCTTACCTTGGTGGCATATTTGGATGTTGAATTTGCACCAAAAAATAAAAATAAAATAGAAAATAGAAATTTTCATGATGAATGCACTTCTATATGAGCTTATATGTTTTTCTTGGGGGAAATAAATCATTAGAAAATTCCCTAATTCTATTGGCTGTGGACAGTTTTGTGTTAATCAGAATCTCAACTACGATGTTGTGCCAACCAAAAAAAATAAAAAAAAGAAAAAAAGAAAAAGAAAAAGAAAAATGGTTTGCACTAGTTCTCTTCATGTTGCTCGTATCTACCCTCATGACCAACTAGTATGTGCTTACCAAATCATTGGCCAAGTCCCAAATCTCACACCGATCCATCTCCTCATTTCTTTTCGATTTTTTTCATTTCTTGATCATCTTTTTCATACGCAATTCAAACTCCATTTCATAATTTAAACATGCAAAATTATCGGGATAAAGGGGTGCCAAGCTGCCACACTTACATTAATCAGTTGTGTACTTGATATGCAAGTAAACATGTTACAGTGGCGGATCAGGGAAATTATTCAATACGGGTTGACACGCAAAAAAAAAAAAAATCACACATAATTTTTTTTTTTTTTACTTAAATCTTTATTTTTAATTAACATTTGGGGTGGAGGGACGGGCTCTAGCACAGCCCGACCTGTCCCTAGATCCGCCCTGAATGTGTACCAAAAGTGTTGCAAAATTCCATCGTTCATTCAATCATTAACCCTATCTATGTTTCTACAGTGACTCAAGAACTTGCACATTTGTCAACTGTAGAAAGACTTTTGAACTATGAGGTATCATCACGTGCTAAATATATAGGGAAAGTTTAGGAAAAATTACGATGACCTTCCTGAGGTTTATGACAATTTCATAGACATCCTATCCCTTTTCAAATATTGCACAAAACTCCCTTATTTTAAGTTGTGAATAACGCATACATCCCTTAAGATTTATGACAATTTCAGTAAAAAAATTTTTTTTTTTTTTTTTAAATTACACAAATCTCCCTTATTTGAAATTTTAAATAACACATACCTCCATTGACCATACATATTAGCATGAATAATAGTGACAATGCTTAAAATATCCTTAAGATGGGTCCAAAAAGGTAGTATAAACAAGAAGCTCAAACACACAAAATTATTTGGGCCAAAATTCATTAGTTCACGTGCTAGTGAGCTGGAGTTTGGGGGTATGAAAATGAGGGTTTCAAGTGGAGGCAGGCAGATATTTTAACATCATCTACAATTATTTTCTGACCCTTTAGCCAAAAGTTCATGGTATGCAAGTACTTCAAACAACATCTTGTATGCATTAGATAGAAGAAATTAGGCCCTTCTGGGCATAGTCTAATGGTGCAAAGGATAAGAGTGAGATTATCTAACATTTTGCTGGCAGTTGCAGTGTGGGAGTTTGATTCATGAGACATGAAATTAGACTCTTTGTATGCGCAGTGTACAGACAACTCTTATTTCTTGGCCTGTTGGGGGCACATCCTGCGATTTACCTTTTTCACAAAGCTCTAGGGGCGAGGCGGTGGGGGCCCTCAAGGTTGGGGTTCAACCCCCCCCCCCCCCATCAATTTTTTTTTTATTTTTCCCTTTTTTTTTTTTTTTTTTATAAAGATAGAAGTGGTAGCAGGTAGGATATATATACTAAGAATTAAACGAAATGCATTATTTTTTTCGTAATCGGTATCAAATAACATATTTGTTTAGTCTCTATGCGAAAGGAACAGAAATTTTTTACAATATTCACCATAATACAGCTAATTTTGTGAACTTAAACTTGTGGTAACTGCCAATTAAACATCCCATCTGTGTAAACATTGAAGGAAATTAGAGCCAATTATATCTAACACCGTGCTATACAAACCACTACAGGAGACATTGACGAAAGCTTAAAACTTCATCTTCATAAACTTGTCTTTTTCTTTCTTGGCATTGGCCTTTGGAAAGAATATGATCGAAAACTATTAAACTTATGCATAGTTATGCGTTATTACCATCGACTTTAATATTTTACACGTCAGATATTTGATAAATTAATATCGTCTGCACGTGAGGTTCATGTTCAAGAAATTTTTTAAATAAATGCTCGTGATCGTCGTTAACTATTTAAACTTTCAGATCAAGTAGTTAATTTAACACTTCCTATCTTCTTAGCAGTTGCGTCCCTTTCACTGTACTATAGAGGAAGATCACTAGTTTATGTCAATTCAAAAGAGAAGCAGAAAAAGAATTCCTAGTATTAGCAGAAAAAACAAGATTGGCTTTAAATAGCTTGTGTGTTATGTTACTGGCATATATTAGTCCAGTCCATATACGGTATTAAGCCCCTGTTTGGGCTCCATTTTTTGAAAAATTCATTCTCGGTCATACATTCGCTAATAAAATAATTCAACACGTAAATCCAAAAGTCTTCCTTATTTTTTAATACCACAATTGCTAAAAATTCACTATTCCAAAGTTTATTTTTTCCTCAAATATGAGCTTAATGCAAACAATACCTTCCTCAAGTACATGACAAAGACTAATAAATATATGCAATAGGACTATGAAAATGAAGGAATTCAAGCTCGAGTTTTCAATCACATGTCGATGATAGAAAGACCATATAGAGTTTATATTTCAGTTCAATGGTGGCAAGATCAATTTTGCAAGTGGTCGAATAGGAGATAACCATAAATTCCCCCGAACAACATAGTCAAATACTATAGTGTTGTTGAAGTAGCAAAGAAATGAATTTGGATGAAGAAATTCTTCGTAGAATTAGAAATGGTTCCATTAAGAAGGTTAAAAGGCGCTTGGCATATACATGAGAGAAGCAAAGATGTCAACCTCTTTCAAATACACAACGTGGATTATGGTGGATTATGGTAATACAATGTAGTTGGACTCTCATTCATTGTATTGCCAGGAATTGGGATTATGGTACAAGCCTAGGAACCAAATGTCTCGCCTAGAAATCCAAACATATGGAAAAACATTTGCATATCACTAGTAGTTGAGAGGTGGTTAGTCGGGCTTTGGAGAAATTCACAACCAACACTAATTATAGGCTATACCATTCATCAATGAAAGTCAAAGTAATTTTTCACAAACAATTAGTGAAGTAGTGAACATACAGACCATCCTGGGATGATTGATGTATACACTCAGCTATAGTTTTATTCCACTCAGCTATAAACAAAAAAGGAAATCCAATATACAGAAAACACAAAGCATTAACAAGTCTCATCCCACAAAAACACAATCTTCATGAGAGTTAAATACTAGACATATAAAAGCAGTAGTTCTTTACTAAAAGCTTTCATTCAACATCAAACCCTTTATCTTGAAGTTCAGAAATAACCTCATTTCTCATCCTCAACCATAGCTTCAAAGCCTCTTGATCAAACTTCTTGTCTTGCAATGCCTTCTGATAATTATACGAATCTTTATCTGTTTCAATGACCCCTTTTGGCCCAATGGTTGTTCCAATCATACCACCTTTAGCAATAAAATCCTTCATGGCCTCCTCGTCGCCTGGGTAAGGGAACTTTCGGCGCTCGTACAAATGAGCCAGCTCTTTCTCTTCCTTAGGTCTCGGTTTAAGAGTCCACCAACCCAGTGGTGAAGTTTCATTATAAAGCCACGCTATGCCAAAAAGTGTATATGTGCATAGCAGTGCCTTTCCCACTTGCTTCCAGAAATGATGGTCTTCTTTTCCTAAACCGACTTTCTTCAGGAATTTCTCGGCATTAAATGAATTCAACATTGATATTCCTTTAAAAAAATATCAGCAGAATTACAGAATTACTGGACTGTTTACACATATATCTCACCTGAAGCATTTTGTCGAACATTTCAAAGGCGGCAAACAATAAATGATAAGAAACTTCAGGAAACTATAAAAAGATTACTATAAATTACACATGTAATAACCTGAAATTATTTAACTAAATTTTGGAAGAAGAGATGTAACAGCGGCACTATTAAATCGCAAAAATAAAAATATAATGTCATATGGGAATTGGGATTATTTTCTAGATTACGAAATTGTAGTAGAATGAATTACCTGTTTTAGCATCTTGGAATCGTCTACGAACCATTAAAGAAAATTCTTGAGAAAACTAAAATTTTATTTAAAGGTTAATGAACAAATGAAAAAATGATCCCCAAGTTGGTGGCAATGGCGGGGACTCACTTAAGTCACCAAGCTTTTCCTTTATCCCATTCAAGTCACCATACTTATATTTCATTTCCATTTGCACGCATTGTTAATAGCCGTTTGGGTAATTAGCACAAAACGTTCCTACCTTTCGATGTTTTTTGTGGAAAACATTTATACCTTTCATTTTTTGCCGGATTACACCCTCACCTTTACCTTTTTTTGTGCAAAACGTCATTCCGTTAACTTCCCGTTAAAATGCTCCGTTAAATCAAAAGGTAATTAGCACAAAAGGTCCATACTTTTCAATATTATTATGCAAAACGTTCTTATATTTCATTTTTTGGCATAATTAGCACAAAAGGTCCCTACCTTTCAATGTTATTTTGTAAAACGTCCCTATCTTTCATTTTTTTAGCATTTTCGCCCCCACCTTTCACCTTTCATTGCAAAAAAGGTCATTCTCATCCATTTTTTTTAATAAAATGACGATTCCCCCCATTCAAATAAAACAAAAAGAAAAGATGAATTACCAACTACAATCATAGTCCTTAAATTTTAAAAAATTACAAAGAAATCATAAATTCTCAACCACCACCACTTTCACAACCTATCAAGCTGCCAACTATAAATCCACATAATACCACGTTTCGGCCACCATGTCCAACGGACTCCACCACCGTAAATGTGGTTGTTTCAGACAGATTGGTGACCAATACTATGAAAGAGGATATTGGGGAGAGTGAAGTGAGTCTGGTGATGGTGCAGTCCGATAGGTGCTGTGGCTGAAAGGTGGTGCTATATGGATCTATAGGTGGTGACTTGGTGGGGATGTAAAAGTGGCGGTAGTGGATAATTTAGAATTTATCTGTAATGTTTTGAAAGATTTAGAACTATGATTGCAATTAATTAATTATTTTTTTCTTTTCTTTTTGTTTTATTTCAATAGGAAGGTAAAATCGTCATTTTATTGGAAAAATGGATGAGAATTACCTTTTGCGCAATGAAAGATGAAATGTAGGGGTGAAAATGCTAAAAACGATAGGTAGGGGCATTTTTCACAATAATATTGAAAGGTAGGGGCTTTTGTGCTAATTATGCTAAAAATGAAAGATATGGACGTTTTACACAATAACATTGAAAGGTAGAGACCTTTTGTGCTAATTACCTTTTGATTTAACGGAGCATTTTAACGGAGAGTTGACAGAAGGACGTTTTCCGCAAAAAAAATGTAAAGGTGGGGGTGTAATCCATCAAAAAATGAAAGGTATGGACGTTTTCCACAAAAATATCGAAAGGTAGGGATGTTTTGTGCTAATTACCCTATCCGTTTAAAAAAATTGTAAAGATTGCTAACGTCACACACGTACTATTGGAACATAATAAAGATTCGCGACCTTTTTAATAGGATGTGATCTAGACTATCAAATATATCTCAATCTAAAATCGAAAATTTCACACATAGCTCAATATAGAAAGATAATTCCAAAAACACCAACACCCATTTTTTATTCCTGAAATACTACATCATGTAACATAAACTTTCAAAATTACTAAATAGCCCAATTAACATGAATATAGGTAACCGATTGCAATCAAGATAGTATTTACCTCCAAGGCATTAAATAGCTCCTAAAATGTAGGGATTTATATTATAGAAACAATTGGATTATTAAATAATGTCCATGTGTATGTATTTGGAGGTATAATTCCAAAATCCTTTTTTATTATTTTGAAATTTATATTTCCATGAAATTTCTATTTCCAATCACTTCATATTACTAAATAATGAAAATTCATGTTTGGCAATTTATAGTCTTATGTTAATTTTTATTTCAAAATGTAAGGCAATATATCGTAAGATGATGTGTTGCTATAATATAACTTCTAATGTCTTAACATTTTTTAATATACTATTCTTACGTACATATAATATACTGCTTATTTTCGTATCATATTTTATATTCTATAGCAATTATGGCATCTCTAAAGTAATATTATGTAATTTATGAAAGATGGAATGTTGCGAATCATGGTATGTTCTTATTTGAATCTTGAATAATTAGTGGTTGCAGTGGTTGCATATATAACACCTGTATATATTTTGTCAAGTTTTGTGAAATTGTATTGTGTACTAAAATATGTTACATATTGGTAATTCGACAACTAATACATACTAAAATCATGTCTATCATGGTAAGACTCCTATCTTGTTTTATATTTGACTCAAAATACTATAATCTTTGAATTGTAGAGAAAAGATATTGGAACTGATACTCAAAATTTGGAGTAAAAAGGACAGAGATATGAAGATGAGAAATCTTTGGAATGTTTTGGAATTCTTTGGGTTATCATAGTTTTGATTGTCATTTTGAACGGATGAGGTACTATGAATCGAGGAATTTTGGATG